TGAATTGGTGATATCACGTATTCGAATAGGTGATATCACCTATTCGAATAGGTGATATCACCTATTCAAAATCTGAATAGGTGATATCACCTATTCGAATAGGTGATATCACCAATTGAATAGGTGATATCACCTATTTGAATAGGTGATATCACTTTTTGGCAGTAAATACCAAAACGGCACCCCATAGACCCAGGGGCCATGAAATTCATAATTTTGAAAAAATGAAAGAAGTGAGTTCAAATACACAGTATAATTCAAAACAGGGCATTCACCCATTCTCAATATAAGGGCTGCAAATAATGTCGCCTCGTTTTCATTTAGAAGAAATACCACTGATGTAATTTTTAAATCAACATTAGAAATAGTCATACAACAATGAATAAGAATTCATATAATTATCGATCCGAAAGGGTATTTAAGGAGTTCCAAATTCAAATATAGTAGCCTATTTGAAATGTACGTTACTGTCGCCGAGGCAAATATTATGCTGAATACTCTCTGTGTAATATATATAGTTTTGATTCTCAAGTAAAAAATTTCTGATAAGTTAAACCCTGTATCATATATATTTCTTTTCATAACATTAAATACATTTTCTTTGTGATAATAAATAATTTTTATTGTGCAATGTCCCTGTCGCTTAATTCTATTTCAACCACATTACAAGCAAACACAAAGATTATACACCTGATAGTTTTGTTCTCCTTTATTTATTGATGGGCTAAAATTTGGGAGGATGAATAACTCCTACTTAGATAATGTAACATGAAATTGAACAATTTGAGCAACTTTTATAAATATGTTTACGGAATGAAAGACATTTTCAATCGTAGAGATAAGAAAGAAATGTACGTTACCTATATTCTTCCATTAAGAATATATATTAAGTAGAAAATATGAGACGACTCTGAATAAGCAACCCCTTGTACCCTGTAAACTGGCAAAGACGTTTTGCTTAACACAATTAAAAATATTTTTTCCATGAAAAGTGATCATTTGAAATGTACGTTACTGAAATGTACGTTACCATGAAATTCGAATTAAGTGAATCTCGCACGAATTTTCATGTATTCTCATACTTTCACACACTCGAATGTGTACACAAAGGAAAGTTTCAAAGGTTAGAGGTCGGCTAAATCCAAAAATTAATGAAAAGGAACGTTTCTGCTGAGGAAAACAAAATATATTAAGGTCAATTATATGTAATATAATTTTGATACCTGGTATATATTTCTGAATACGAAACCTGTATGATGCATTTCTTATGATATGCAAGTTCAAATAGTATCAATATACTGCATGTCTAACGTACGCTTGTGGAAGAGAATTGATTTTTATATTTGAAATGTACGTTACGTATGGTAACGTACATTTTGCGCATTTCTAACTGACATTTTTTTTAATTTAGTCAATGATTTGCGTTTACACGAGCGAAACAAAATTATCGTTACAATCCATTTGACAACTGACCACATAAATCCATCTAAATGTACCCCGAAATCCTCGTAAATGAGGTAGATTATTACCACATGCTAGAAAATTTATTTTAAGTGTCTTAAATTCATCTTTAGCAACCTTTTTGCAGTTTGTTTACTTTTAATTTGCGCCTTTTCGTCAATATTAATTTAATTGCTGTTGATAATTTAAAACAAGGTATGCATAGGCTTATAATTGGTAAAAAAAACAGAAGTCTCTGTCGAGACTGTAGCTCTACTGGTTTATACTTAAAACAAAGGAAGAGAAAAGTAGCAGTTGGGACTTGAGACTTTAAATCAGCAATAAATAGAAAAATGATCCTTGCCACTCATCAAAATAAAAACCAATGCACAGAATTATGTATCTTAGTATAGTCTACTTGTGTGCCAAGTTATACTGAAATCAGACCAAAACTGCAGGAGGAGTAGCATTTTGAAAGAATTTCACAGAAATTTCTATTTTTAGTAACCAAGGCAACATTGTTCATTGAAATCAAAAACCGATGCACAGAATTATGTATCTTAGTGTAGTCTACTTGTATGCCAAGTTATATCAAAATCAGACCAAAACTGTAGGAGGAGTAGCATTTTGAAAGAATTTCACAGAAATTTCTATTTTTAGTAACCACGGCAACACCGTTTATCGAAATCAAAAACCGATGCATAGAATTATGTATCTTAGTGTAGTCTACTTGTGTGCCAAGTTATACTGATATCGGACCAAATTTGTAGGAGGAGTAGCATTTTGAAAGAATTTCAAAGAAATTTCTATTTTTAGTAACCAAGGCAACACCGTTCATCGAAATCAAAAACCGATGCACAGAATTATGTATCTTAGTGTAGTCTACTTGTGTGCCAAGTTATAATGAAATTGGACCAAAACTGTAGGAGGAGTAGCATTTTGAAAGAATTTCACAGAAATTTCTATTTTTAGTAACCACGGCAACACCGTTTATCGAAATCAAAAACCGATGCACAGAATTATGTATCTTAGTGTAGTCTACTTGTGTGCCAAGTTATACTGAAATCGGACCAAATCTGTAGGAGGAGTAGCATTTTGAAAGAATTTCAAAGAAATTTCTATTTTTAGTAACCACGGCAACACAGTTTATCGAAATCAAAAACCGATGCACAGAATTATGTATCTTAGTGTAGTCTACTTGTGTGCCAAGTTATATTGAAATTGGACCAAAACTGTAGGAGGAGTAGCATTTTGAAAGAATTTCAAAGAAATTTTTATTTTTAGTAACCACGGCAACACCGTTCATCGAAATCAAAAACCGATGCACATAATTATGTATCTTAGTGTAATCTACTTTTGTGCCAAGTTATATTGAAATCAGATCAAAACTGTAGGAGGAGTAGCATTTTGAAAGAATTTCACAGAAATTTCTATTTTTAGTAACCACGGCAACACCGTTCATCGAAATCAAAAACCGATGCACAAAATTATGTATCTTAGTGTAGTCTACTTGTGTGCCAAGTTATATTGAAATCGGACCAAAACTGTAGGAGGAGTAGCATTTTGAAAAACTGTTTACAGACAGACAGACAGCTAGACAGACGGACGGACGACGGACGCATTACTATCGCATAAGCTCTTCTGGTCTCTGACCAGTAGAGCTAAAAAAAACAAAACAAAACAAAAAAAAGAAAAGAAAAAGAAACAAAACAAATAAACCCAGAACACAAGACGGCCACGTACATTTCTAATACTGAAAGGCACACACTACTCAGTTTTGTTTTAATCATTGCATTTTGGGTTATATTGTTCCAGATCTGCTGAAAAGTACGTATGTTTGTGTTTTGACAAACGATGTTGCAACATACTAAATGAAATTGTTATCTAGACTGTCGATGGGTATATTCGAAATAGATTTATGTTAAGTTTCAATGGCCAAACACAAGCATTTGTTAGATCATAGCAAACTACGTCTGACTCTTATTTTTTTTGTCTGTACCCTTGCACACAGGTAGAAGTAACTAGGCTACGACCGTTGACAATTTCAGCGAAACAGCACAAAAGAATGGTAATGAACTGAGATGGAGGGGACTCCCCAATTTTATGTGAAATGAACGTTACCGAAGTGACGTGACATTCCTGTAGTTGATGACAAATAACCACATTTGTTACATTATGATTTCTTATATTACTGCGTTAAAACGCTTCATTGAAATGATTTTTATGTAAATAATTGCTTTTTTTCAATAATCTTTCTTATTACTAATTTACATATTATTACAAGCTTGAAATGTACGTTACCTACTCATATTCCGAGGCAATCGTGTCTTTATAGTGGTGATTGTGACATATAACACAATGTGATTACATAGAGAATCTTTTTAGGAATAAACTGAAACAAAACGATGAATTGTAGATGAATTTTAAGCTTTTTATTAAACAGAAATATATCTTGAAATGTACGTTACATTTACGTAGTTGTCTAAATCGGCATGGATATATGTTACAAAAGACAGTAACTACAAAATAGAATTTTATTACATGTACATGTTAAGTTCCACTATCTATAGAAAATGACAAGATTACAAACTGTTCGCTCTAAACAAAACAGAGAGAAGAATTTAAAGTATATATTTAAAAAAAGTTTTGATACATCTGGATCAAAAAGTAACCTTTGTTTTTTGAAAAGAAAAATCAAACGCACGTTCGTATGCCGAGAAAATATGTTGTTGACAGAGTTGGTAGGATGTTCTGGTGTTAAGATGAGATATTCCAATTGTGATTTTAATGACTACATTTTTTTTTTTACATATCTTATTGGACATTGAAGAAAGAGTAACGTACATTTCAAGCTACATTTCTGAATAAAATCACCCTCTACTTTACCGTCTTGTCATTATTCCATGTATTAAAATTTGATGAAAAAAACCTGGAAACAAAATCTTCAGATACTTTCTTTCAAAAGTAATTGATAGAAAAATTGCTATCTTGAACTTCATTTTTTTAAAAAATCAGAGAGGCATTTGTGCCCTTATACTGAGAATGGGTGATTACTTACAAAGAAACATCACATCAAAACTTCTTGCATACATAAGGACATGCATATCAGTGTATGTTACAAACTTATTGGGCTGAAATTTATTGAAAAATAATGGAATCAATATTTCTAGGTGATATACAAATTATGATGATACATTATGCCTGAAATAACTATAAAGTGTCAGGAAATTCAGTGCAGGATATAATGATGTTGACAAACTGTTATTTACATTCCTCGGTGATTTCAATTTGTTAATCAGTGTAGTTCATGTCCAATGTATGACAATTTACACATTACACAAGAAATAATTGATGGAAGATAATGTAGTCATATAAAATTTGATTATATACTGTACTTTTGAAATTATTTAAAGCAAATCATTAGTTTGAGAGGGGGTGAGAACTTTTTTGTATGAATTTAAAACAGAGCAAAATTGTTTTCAAGTGTGAAAGGGCAAAAATGATCGACATGGTGTGAAAAAAAAAACTGTTTAAATTGCTGCAATTACAGAGATACCTACCAGCTCCTTTAGGTCCTGAGTCAGCTTTGACAAGCTCCTCAAGAATTTCTCTATATCCATTTTTTCCCAGAATAAACAACAAAAAATGAAAGCAGTTATTTTCATTTTTCTTTACTGTTTCCAAGAAGCGTTGGATTTGCTTAGAAATTTTGTTTGTCTCTGTAATTCTGTCATGATCAGGAATGTCTATTGCGCTCTCCTCAAACAAAAGGTCACAGAGTTCAAGAGGCTCCAGTTCCTCCAATAGAAAATCTTCATGTTCTTTGAGACAAGAGATATGTAGGCTCCTCAATAGGGGGTCCAACACAGGAATTCCTAATTGAAAGAAATTCTTAAGTTGAGCCAAACATTTCTTTATTGTGTATCAATTAAGGCTGTCAGAATTTGAATTGTAATAATTGATAGTATACAGAAAACTAAAACTAGAATGAAAAGAATAAGGAACAAAAGGTCAATGGACTACACTGCTCACCAAAGTAATAAGGTCCTGTTTTTCTTATGTTAAACCCACGTACAGGTGCTCGTGGACAGGATTATCCTTACTCCCCCCCCCCTTTCCCTCAAACTTTCAAAATAAAAAAAAATCCGATTTTTTTTCTTCATTTCTAATCCCTGACAATTTAATTAATCTGTATGTTTCTATTTGAAAATCACATAAATATATCGATCATAAGCAATTTCTATACACAGTGGTTTCACGTATATCTACATGAAACCACTGTGTATAGATATTCAAATGTCACCAAGGTCAATGACATTGTGACCTTGACTGTGACCTGTATGCTAAAAATAGTTTTTTTGTACCTTTGCCATAACTTTTGAACCACTGTGAAGAAATAGAGACTTCATACTTGGTATCCATACTTTATTAATCAAGTTCTTTCAACTGACACCAAGGTCAATGGCCTTGTGACCTTGACTGTGACATAATTATATGTTTAGACATGTATGCTAAAAATAGCTTTTTAAAAAAATTCAATGTTAGCGCCAGGCGCATAGGGTTTTAAAAACACATCTTGTTAAATGGTGACATAATTTTTTACAAAATTTTAATTATCTCCCATTGGAAGAATAAGTGGCTTATTATTTGCACAAACTTGAATCCCCATCAGTGATGATCACCCAAGCATATTTTGTGGCAAGTTTGGTTGAAATTGGCAAAGTCGAAATTTTTGAATTTTGTAAATTTCTCCAAATAATTCTGTACAGTAAGTTATAATGGGTGTATTGTCAGCATTTAATCCGTTGTTTTTGCTTAAGAATAGGTATTTCTTCTATTAAAGCAGTTAAGTTATATCAAATCATTTGAAGGACGTCATTTTTATGACTTTTAAGCTTGTTTTTTATGTTTTGGCTTGTGTGTTTTTTGCGAATAGGTAGGTAGGTTTTTGAAAGATGGGTGGACGCTAAACAGAGAAAAAACTTGGAATGCCCTCATGTTTTACTATGAAATTTAGTAAATATGGTGGCATATATCAGTTCGTTTTATTGTTGACAGCTGTATTGCAATATATCATGTATATATAAACATATTATAATGTGTATCATGTTGTGATATTTTCATTTCCTATTTTTATTTTATTTTCATAATTTAAAGCTAGTATAAAAAAATAATATAATTCAAAACTGGAAAAAAACCTCTTTCTTCAATTTCAGCACTCTTTTCCCTCATTTTCCAAATCAGGTCCTCTCTTTTCAAATCTACTTCCATAACCCTGAAGAGTTCCTTGCATGCAGGTTCCCTTTTCGTCAAAAGTATTTTCAGCAGTTTAGATGTCTTCTGTCTTGCACTGGTAAAGTAGTTAATGTCGGAAATGTTTGCTTCGTTCAGGAAGCCATACATCTGATCCACCATTATTCTAGCATCATCAGTGACTGGAAGTTCCTCTTTGAGAAGACAGAAGTTTTGCGTTATGCAAAAAGCATACTTCGCTGCAAATGAAGTAAAGTTGTCATAAGTATGATATATCTTTGAAGAATGTTTAGGGAATCACTGTCTACGTTTGTTGGGTATGCCAGTATGTGTACTTAAAATAGCAGGCTTCATATTTTGTCCGCTTTGGCACAAACGATGATGCGCTAAATCATGAATACCGCTAAGAATTCATATATAAATAGAATATACGGCATGAACATGTGTAGCGCTAATTCATGATTATGCCAACGACTCCATATCCATTGAATGCACTAAATTTTGAATATGCCAAATTATGTACACGCATATAGTAGGTTATAGCACATGTACTAACTTGTGGACTTATAAAGTCCGAGAGAGTTTTGGCCTTATGTAATATGTAATCTCTCTTGGGTGTTATCATAATACGTAATAAGGGTCTGTCCACAAGTACGTACCTGTGGGTTATAGGCGTCTTGCTCCAATAAAAGTTTCTTTGTACAAAATTTGAAAGTGGTACAATGAAAACTGTTTGAGTTATTGTTTAATAACAAAAATGTTCCGACAGATGGACAGACAAACATACAGACAGACAAGGTGATTCCTATAGGGTTCCTACATTTTCATCTTTAAAATCACTGCAAATCAATAAACAGGTTTTGATGAAGGAAGTACTCACAAGATTCCACTGTCACATTTCTATCCTTTTTTAGTGTATCTAGCACCTGGACATAATTCAAAGACTCCAAAGCAAATACAAAGTTAGAATACAATTCCTTTTTCTTTAAAATGTCAAGGAGCCCCTGCATACGTTTGTATTTTCTATCAGGATCAGTCACAGTATCATGGTCTCTACCAGTGATGTCACCAGCTTCAAACATTTCATCCACAATTTCCCTGGGTTCCAGTTCTTTATGTAAGCAAGCTAAATGTCTCTGTAGGAGTCCATCCGTAACAACAATATGAGGCTTTCTCTGTTTTGCATCTGTAATTAAGAGATTCTCTGTTCTGATCATGAGATTGTTATGCAATATGCACTTCAAACATGACTGTATAGATTCTGAAATTATTAAATGTTCTTCTAGAAACAAAAGCCTAATGGGCCTTAAAAGTCACCTGTACAACTGTAGTTACCTCTAAATAC